GTTTTGGGAAACCTTGAGAGGCGGCTCTAAGAATTCCAACATCTAGAGCTTCTAAATACATCTCCATGCGGATTTTCCAATAAGGAAAATCATCTCCCTCAAAGATAGGAGGAGGTCCATCCCCGTGGGATATCTTTCTCTAGGCGGTTAAGCCTAAATACATAAGCACGAGGCTCTGATACCAATTGAAAGGATTAAGATGCCCAAGAGGGGGGGTGAATTGGGCTGATTCTAAAATTCTTTGCAATAATTTAACCCGACACTTAGCCCACTTCACCTCTTATGCCTAGAAAGTGATTCTAATGATCTACCGCACAAAAGTTTAGCACCCTAAGTTTCAATCCTACTCTAGCATGGCAATTCTAAGAATGTAAAGACAAGAATTGAATTGCTCAAAAGTAAATGCACAAAGTAAAGAGAGGAGAAGGAACACGGCGATGTTTTGCCGAGGTATCAGAGAGTCGCCACTCCCCACTAGTCCTCGTTGGAGCACCCGCGCAAGGGTGTAGCTCCCCCTTGATCCGCGCAAGGATCAAGTGCTCTCTACGGGTTTATTTTTCGACACTCCATCACGGTGAATCACCCACAACCACTCACAACTTGAGTTGGGTCATCCACAAGCTTCGCCGGATGATCACCAAGCTCCCAATTACCACCAAGCTGTCTAGGTGATGGCGATCACCAAGAGTAACAAGCAAGAACTCTCACTTGACCACAACAAGCCGAATGCGAAGGGTGGATGCACACTTGCTACTCTCTTTTCACTAATAAGGCCTTAATCTTGGATTCTCAAATCTCAATCACCTCACTAGGCTCTTGCTCTCCTTGGCACTCTCAAGGGTGTTTTTAGCTGTTGAAATGGGCAAGATTACTCCCTTGAATGAATAGAGGAAGTATTTATACCCCCTCATTCAAAACGAACCGTTATGTGCCTGAGTTAGCATTCTGCGGGGTGACCGGATGCTCCGGTCATGGTGACCGGATGCTCCGGTTAGTTCTCCCTGACACTGAGCCGTTAAGTTATGACCGGACTCTGACCTGCGTTCGGTCAACACTGACCAGATGCGTTCGGTCGCAAAAACTGCTCTCTGGAACCTTACTGATGTTGACTGGATGCTGGAGCCCAGAGTCTGGTCGCTTCACTGTTCAGCGTCCGGTCAGTAACCGGAACCTAACCAGCGTCTGGTCAGCACTGACCAAACGCGTTCGATCAGGATTCTCCCTCTTTAGAACCTTACTGGAGTTGACCGGACTCTGGCACCCAGCGTTCGGTCACATTTCACTCAGCGTCCGGTCACATCCAGATGACTTCACTTGATCAAATGAACTGACCGAACTCTATTGCCAGCGTCCAGTCACACCGGAACCAGAGTCCGGTCAACATTTGACCCTCCATTCACTTCCAACTCGAAATCATATATGAATGAAGTTTGCTCCAATTGATCTTAGGGCTATTTAGGAGCTACCTAGTGCTAGATTTGACAAGTGTGCACCACACCTAACTCACTAGACTCACCTAGGTCAAGCTACTAGTCCATAACCCCCTTAATAGTACAGCCAAAGGAAAAACAAAGTCCTAAACTACTCTAAGTGTCTCTTCAACACCAAACGACACTTAGAACTAGTCCATCCTTAACCTTGTCGTCCATCCTTTGAAAACCGAAATGATTTCCATCGTAGGGGCATGACAACCATGATTGCCCAATCAATTTCCATTACCATAACCTAACTTAATTGCCTCTATAAAACACATGTTAGTCATAGTAATCACGTATTATCATTAATCACCGAAACCCAACTAGGGGCCTAGATACTTTCAATGATGATGATGGTGGTGGTGACCAAGACGATGATGAGGACTACGATGAGAGTAGTCATTTCTTTCACGCGGCCTACCTCTTTTGGCACTTGTTGACAAAGGGGGAGTGTTAGGCTTTGATCTTATTGTAATAAATTAGTTGGTCGCTTAGAGCTTGTGAGACTTTAAAACTTTTAGCTTGTATGAACTATGTCGTGTGGTGGCAGTATGTGATGGACAACTATATTTGTGTGATAAATGATTATAGGACAAGCAATGTTTATCTACATATCTATTTGTCTCTACATGTGAATGGTGGATGTTGTTTTGGATGGCGATGTGTTGTTTCAAGTTGTTACTTTGAGATCTTAGCCATCATATTTTCTTTTACTTGTTGTATAACATGTCATATTGCATCTCCCTTTTTCACGGATATTCACTTGTTCACATACACTTGTTGCACTCCACGGATTGCAAAATTTAGGGGGAGTTTCTATCTTAATATATGCAAGTGATGTGTTGATGATCATCAATGAAATTCAAATTCAATGCATATATTAAGGGGAAGCTCTCTATAAATTTTGGGTTCAACACTACTACAAAACAAGGATATTGTATCACTTTCTTGTAACATATTCATCAATGTGTTCCAGTGAAATTTCATAGTAACATAAAATAGTGTGTTACAGACTTCGGTTGTAACACAAAACACTTTTTTATAAAAATATGTTACTGGCAATAATTATAGTAACACAAAATTAATGTTACAAGCAAAATGTTACAAAAGTGTACTATGTTGTAATACATAAATGGAACATATAAAATGTGTTACAAATATATACCTTGTAGTAACACAAAATAATGTTACAGTCCAAGTGTTACAAAGAAACATATACATGTGGACCTTCCTATTCATAGGCGACACGAACATCGCACCTAGCTGCCGTCAAGGCTGTTAGGCAATCATGTCGTGGTCATCACATGTGAACCAAGTAACAATGAGTAAGGGGGTGTTTGGCAGGGCTCCTCCTAAGGGGCTTCTTCGGAGGAGTCAGAGCCATTTTGGAGGAGCTTCTATGACCACCAGAGGACATTTTCATTAATACAGTGACAATAGTTCTCCTGTCAATAATTCATGACAAGACAAAACTCGTCACAACATATTAAATAGAATACTGCCACGTGTATGGTGACATGGCACATATGACATGGCAGAGGACGTGGCGGGTGACGTGGCATTTAACATTTGGCCCATATAACATGGGGTTTTCCATTATTATTTTCATTTACAATCTGCCTAATTGGCCCAATTTTTTTTTTGCCCAGCTACAAATTAGCAACATTATAGTCCAGTCCCATATTGTGGGCTAATCCAATTCTTCCACGTATTTCATCAGTTTTTTAATAGACCACCTAGTTCTTCCACGTGTTGCGTTATTATTAGTCTAGATTTCAGCTTTTATTTTTTTATTAGTCCATGTCATAATAAACGGAACAACCCAATAAAAATCCGTACATATAATTCAAGTTTACAGGCACATAACCACTCATGTTACAAACACATAATGAGATAATTTATCAAGTCACAACCATGACGAGCATCCTAGTACGAGTATAATCTTTTTTTTAACTGAGCATTTTATTACTCGTCGACTCTGGCCAAATCGCTGGTTACCACGCACTCAAACTCCTGAGGTACACCATCCCAAGTGTTACTAATGCCACCGGAAAACTTACACCCGGCAACTGCTAAAGCATGAGCCACCCTATTACAGTCACATTTACACACACTAAGATTACATGATCTAAGCTCCGCGCTAATAAAAAATTTCATCTCCGTGACTAGACCCCCAACTATGGACAGCCTATAGTTGTCACCTGAGAGAGCATCTCTGACAAGCATGATGTCGGTCTCCACAATGATCTCCTGCACTCCCATGCTGATTGCCACCTGAAGTCCTGCATAACAAGCCTGCAGTTCTCTGCAGTTACTAATTGGCAAATGCAAGATAAAACTTAACTGCAGTGGCAAACCATGGCTGCACTTTGCTCTCTGCAGTTACTATAGCAGCTACACAACAGCAGGTGCAGGAAGCTTTAGTGAACACTCCCTTTAACATTTGGTAGCAATGGAACTGAAGAATTACTCTAGAGAGTCCATAGCTCTTGTGTCAGAAATATGGTAGTTCACATTTTTCAGTTATATCTTAGCTCATGTTACGAGTATCATGTTGCATAAGTCATCCATCAACAACTGAGACATGTAATAATAGAACCATTTAAAAAAGAAGAAAATGCACACAGTAATTTGACTAGTTGCAATACTGTAAACAAGCACAACTGCTAAAGTTGCTAAGCAAGCATCAACATTCCAATAGAACACCCAGTCATTCATCCTCAATCCATTACGAGCACAACTCACCTCCAATAGAAATCGACCCATATGGTAGTAGCCAAGACCTGCCCAACATCTCATTCACCTCCTGTAGCAGCATCAAGCCATGAAGCAGGAACTTCATTAAAAGTTAACCCCATAAAAATTCAGGGTCAAAGACTGAATTAGTGAAAATATGCAGCGTTAAACCAATGTTTTTTTGGGATCACAAGTTCAATAGAAAGATTGAATTAGTGAAAACATGCAACATTAATCCATGTGCTTGTGCAGCAGTCTATCATGTTGTCAGCCAGTGTCTATTTATGCAAAACAGTGCCACACTCTTGAAGCACAAGTCAGCCATTAATGAACTAACAAAGCAGGCATGAGTGCCATAGCAATAGAAAATACAGCAGGTACTCAGTACTTCTTAGTACACATACCAAAGTAGCATTTCTTTTCCCCATTAAGAGAGAGTTACAGATTAGTACAAAAACAATTATCTTGTGTTGTTGGACTGCGTAAAGAAAACTGAACTTAGTAATAAATCAACTTAAGAATGTGTAGAGAACTAGCATGGCCAAGTAACAATTAACTTGTGGTTTCTTTATACATTTTCGTTATCGTATCATACAGGTATAACATATATTGTTACAATCATACCATTGACCACCCTAATAAAGTTCACATATATAAATTATCATTATAATAAAAATTCAATAAATATGAGAAGAACTTGTACAATTACACTATAAAGAAAAAGGAGAAACACAAACCATTGAAGAAATGAGCTTGCACAATAAAGAGTCAGGTACTACACCTCATGAACTATGATTGGTCATTCAATCCATTGCCACTAGCATCCACAGCATCACTAGCATCCACCGTGGTTCCCTCAATGTCTGTTCTAGCCCATTGATGTCTTACATTTGCATTATTGAACATATCTCCAAGGTGTGTGACATGGAATGGCTCATTTTCTACATCATCTTCCCATTCATCACAACCTGTGGCATATACATCTCTTGGTTTCATCTTCATGACTATAGACCACCCAGGGTTTTCTTTGTCTTCAGCATAAAACACCTGGTCAGCTTGGTTAGAAAAAATATACGGTTCATGAATAATCTTTTCTCCTGTATGTATCAAGTGTGAGAAATTAACAAGTGTGTAGCCATACTTGTCCTTCTTTATTCCTCTTTTAGAAAGAACATCAACCCATTCACATTTGAAAAGTACCACAGAAAAATTCCCAGAGTAGTTTAGCTCAATAATATCAATTATCCTCCCATAGTAAGTCACATCACCTAAAAGTGGCATGCCATCACTTGCACTGGCATAACTTGATGTTTTTGTAGTTAGCACTACACCACTATTTTGTGTCACCCTATCCAACCGTTTGGGCCTAAAACGGAAACCTCAACTGTTGAAAGCACGATACCTTTTTGCAGCATCAACCGGACACGAGCTAGCCATCTAATGTCATCTTTAACACCATGAATGCCATTTTCCCTCTCTAACTACATTATCTGTACAATTATACAAGTTTAGTCCTGCACGTTAGTGCTACATAAGCATTTTGAGTTAAGGTACTTACATGACCTCTAAACCATTGATGGAACTTCTCATTTTGGATTTTCTCAACATCTCTATGACTGGCTCTACATCCAATATCTTTTTCAATGATCTCTTCAGCATGAGCTCTACAATTTACATGTAAGAAAATTTATGGGAGGCAAAAAAATAAATTTATGTTTACAATTTTGAGATATTACCTAAGGTATGGATCGACATCGGAACAATTGAATAGCACATATCTATGTGCTTGTACTTCAGCCAAACCTCTCAGGACATAACTACTTGGCTTCCCAAGTGGTTTCCTAGATTGAGGAAAAAGAGTTGATGCATGTCTAGTAGAGCATCCAAGTGACTCCTCATTATCATCATTTCGCAAAAGCCTATTAGACAATGTCTGAAAACCATCAAGAAATGTTGAACAAAAGTGCATAGCCTCTTTTGACAGAACTGATTCTGCAATGCAGCCCTCTGGACGAGCTTTATTTCTCACGTTTGACTTCAAATCACCAAGGTACCTACACAAACTAGTATAAATTAATAAAAACTATAATTTAGCATGCAAAGCGAAGGTACCAAACATGGCTCTTAATTTTTTATAAGAAAAACGTACCTTTTCACAAAATACATTGATCGATAACATATAGGACCACCTATTTTTGCCTCTGTTGCTAAGTGAAGAACTAGATGCACCATGATAGTGAAAAACCCAGGAGGGAATATCATCTCTATCCGACATAATGTCATTATGATTCGGTCCTCTAACTTCTCAAGTTCATTCATGTGGAGAACTTTTGCATTCAGTTCTCTAAAATATCCACACAGATCAAATAAGACAGATGTAACTTCATCTGGGAGAAGACCTCTTAGAGCAAGTGGCATAAGTTGTTGCATTAGTATGTGGCAGTCATGACTTTTGAGGCCTGAAATTTTTGCTTGACCAACATTTACACATGTAGAGATGTTACTAGAATAACCATCTGGAACTTTTATGTCACGAAGGACTTTACAGAATTGTTGCTTCTCCTCTTTAGACATGTTATACAAAGTAGGAGGAAAGTAATACTTACCATTAGCCTTTTTTTGTGGATGTAGATCTGGCTTGATGTTCATTTCTTGCAAGTCTTTCCTTGCCTGTAGATTGTCCTTTGATTTGGCATCCATTTCTAAAAGTGTCCCAAATATATTTTCACACACATTCTTCTCTATATGCATAAAGTCAAGATTGTGCCGTAGCAAATTATACTTCCAGTAAGACAAACAAAACAAGCCACTAACACCCTTTCATGTTTTGGACTTCTCAAAGTCTTTAATTGATTTTATCCTTTCCAAAAGAGATACTCCAGAATAAGAAATAGGTCTCAACCGATGCTCTTTGGTTCCGTCAAATGAATTGGCATCATAACGAAACTCATGGCTAGTGGGTAGAAATCATCGGTGTCCCATGAAACATTGCTTGAGGCATGCTTCAAGCGTATTGAACTTGTTTCATCTTCATAAGACACACAACCCAACTGTCCCATAACACTGTACCGTGCCAGTATCCCTGTCCCAAGGTAGTCACTCACAGTATGCAATATTGTAGCATAAAGTTGAAATCTCTCATCTCGAGATGCATCATATGTAAACATACCAGTGTCAAACAACTCATTTAGCTCATCATAAACCGGCTGCATAAATGTATGGAAGTCCTTTCCAGGGTAACCAGGAATTATTAGAGTGAGCATAAGAGAAGAAGCTTTCATGCATAACCATGGTGGAAGGTTGTATGGTACTAATACAACTAGCCAACAACTATGGGTAGAATTACACTTCCCATATGGGTAAAAAACATCTGTTGCTATTCCAAACTTCATGTTTCAAGAATCTGATGCAATATGAGGGTGCTGGGAATCAGTGATTTTCCAAACCTCTGAATCAGCAGGATGGCGCAAAGCACCATCCTTTGTACGCTCCTCATCATGCCATCTAGTTAACTTGGTTGTTTCCTTGTTTATGAAAAGCCTTTTAAGTCTAGGTTTGATTGGAAAGTAACGCAATACCTTATTTGGGGTTGCCTTTCTTCTTTCCTTTTTTGTTAATGATGTTTTATCTGGCTTATTTTTCCATCTTGAAGCTCCACATTTTGAACAGAAGTCATCATATTTCTTGTCTTTCCAATAGAGCTGGCAATTATTTGGGCACACATGAATCTTCTCATATCTAAGACCAAGCTTCGCAATGGTCTTCCGAGCCTACACAAATGTTCTAGGTATATTTGAACCATTTGGGAGAGCTAGCTGTAAAATTTGAAGTAGATCATTAATTGATTTATTGCTCCACTTGTTGGTCGACTTCACATGAAACAATAGGACTAGGAAAGAAAGTTTTGATAGCTCACATCCTTCCCATAAAGGTTCATCAGCAGCCCTAAGCAAATCAAAGAAATCTTGTGTTTCCGCATCTGGTCCATCTTCAGATAAACCTGATGCGTGAGGTCCATTTGTGTGATGTTCATCGTCTATATATCCAAAGGCTTCTTGGAGTACTTGGCGCATATTAGTGTTTAAACTTGGACGTGGTGACTCTGAATCTTTGTTAGCAGAGATATAAGATGATGTTTCCCCATGACAGCCCCATATAGTGTATCGACGCAGCATTCCATCACACACTAAGTGCTCATACACTGTTTCTTGCATTTGTAACTGCCTATTGACACATTTGACACAGGGGCATTGAATCTTTGCATCGGACTTTTTCCCACTGTAGGCAAACTTAAGAAAACCCTGAACCCTAGCTATGTACTCATCACTTGGTCTTCTAGATTGCAACAACCTCTTAATAGCACTTAAGTCCATTAATTCACTGAAATCAAGATATACTATCACTGCATCAGTTGTGTGGTACTTCAATAGCTGAGACAAAATGTTGGAAATACATAAAAAGCTATGAATTATATAAAGTGGACTCAAACAGTTTGTCTTGTAATAAAATATTAGTCTTTTCAAACATGGCAAGCAAGGCTGCACTAATGACTGGTGGCGATTACTGATTATCTGATTAATAGATGGACTCTAGTAATGCTCACTTGTAGGACAACTACAGTTGCTTAACTGACTAATGGGTGCCTCTCCTGCAGGTACCGGTGCACAACATGCCCAAAATTAGTTGATGAGAAGAGAAATGCAATGATGGTGGAACAGAGTAAGCCAAACGGCAAACATGGAGTAGCAAGCAAAGGCGGTAGCAAGCAATTAATACATATTTATGCCCGTAAAAAATGAAATACTACATCAAGTGCCTAGTTCTCAATTTCTTATAACTGTACATGTACATAAAAATTAAGAAATGATGTCTAGTTCTAAGTTCACAGGTACAATATCAGTCACAGCAAGGCCAGAGACAAATTAGTTCATAAGCAAAAGCTTTTCCCAGGAATTACATGATCACAGCAGGTTATCACTTATCAATGGAACATATCAGCATTATCACAAGAGTGCAATAGACCAAAGGCAATAATGCATTATGCAATAGTTCATAGATATACAAAGGCATCAGCCATCAGGCACACAGGCCACAGCAGACCACCACCAGCAGCAGTACAGGTATAGGGCTATAGGCGTACATGATTTAGTTCTTGTCTTCCATACTTTTAGTTTCTAAACAAAAGCACAAGACTACTCCATTTATTCATTGGTTTGCAATGTCCTGTTATTCTCATCTAAACATTGGCATGAGCATGACAATTGAGTTACTGATATAATGACACTTCAAACAAGTCAGTAACTTCTATGGATCCGTCTTTACTTAACTTCTTTTATATTTCACTCCTAATTCTTAAATTAACCAAAAAAATAGCCAATTATCAATCCTAATAATTCCTAAATTAACCAACCAATTAGATGAAACAAACGGAACAACCTGAGCTAAATAGACCCATTATCTAGCAAGGGACTACTTACCTACCTGCTCGGCTGCCTTGCTCTGTTGCTCCCGCTTGGAGAGTTGGTGTCACCAGTCGGAGTGCCAACGCCACGCTAGGTTGTGAAACGCGAACAACTTGAACGGGCAGGCCAAGCCCCGCCGGCCCGCCCACGCGGCAGTGAGCTAGAGCGCCACCACCCTGACTCTTGGCTGCTGCACGAGCAGGGCCGCACGGGAGAAGTACATATCCCGCTGGATCCTGTAGCAGGGCCGGCCCGCAGCCACCCTGGCCTGGAGCGAAGGCGGCGTGGAAGTGCCGGCCGGCGGCGTCACCGTATGGACAAGAGGGTCGGCGGGCAGCCTGGAGCAGAGGGGCGCCGAACTTGAGGGCAGGGGTCTGGCCTGGAGTAGATGGATTGCTAGGAGAAGGGTACCGTCATGGATGTCCTCCCCTTGCAGGATTGGGTTGAGAATTGAGATGATATGTAGCTGAGATTGGAAGACGACAGTTATAAGAGATAAGGGCGTTTTCAATTTCGCAGCCGGCTGTTCGCGGAAACTTGTGCGCCAATATTTTTAGACCAAAAGTAACTCCGTTTTAAAATAGCATAGTGGAAAGAATTGTTGTTAAAAGATTCTAAAAAGTTATTATAAAGTCGCACATATGGAGCTAAAGACATAGACGTGTTATAAATCTAAAAAAATTGTAAGACCAAGATAACACGTATTCTTCTTTAAACAAAAAAAGGCAATTAATTAACGTTAGAATAAAATAAGTTCTTATTTAATAAAAATATTGCTATATTGACGAAATATTGATCAAAAATTTAAATTATTGAGAAAAAGTGTAATGACACACTTATGTCTTCTGTCCACATAAAAGTTGAAGAGATGTGACACGTGAATACATCAAACATGATGAAAATTTTTAATAATGTGAAAACACTATTCTATTACGGGTTAGTTTGCCACAAAAACAAAACAAAATTTAAATTATGTAATGTAATTTATGTTTAAGTAGATTTTTTTTCAAATACGCAGGAGATCTTCGAGAGAAAAGGATCGCCCCTTACAAATGGCATCACCTCACTCTGGGTCGGGCTGTGAGGGATTGTTTTCTTTACATCGAAGAATTTAAACAATAAAAAACTGAGATAAGGGTGAGACCTGACCACAAAACTCCAACCAACTAAGCTATAGTAAGCTAACTCATCGTGACCCAAACCCAACGTGCACAGGCCACACGTGCCCGTCGTGCACCAAAGATGATGTCCATCTCTGAATTCATTGAGCAGCCTGATGATGTAGGGGCAAGTCCCTTAAAAACGGATATACACGAATAAAAGCATAGTTGGAGAGCCTCACCGTGGACATCGATTGTGGGCCCTATATACACGAATAAAAATATGGCCCTATATACACGAATAAAATATGTCCAACTACATATCATAAGATTTTTTTAGAGTTAATACCAAAGCAGTCTATAACTCCATACGCTCTAAAGTCACAAGTGAGTGTGCAGTGGTAGAAAAGAATCTCGGATGGAGAAACAACCAAAATAAAAGTTGTAGATCTTAAAACGTTATGCAACTTTCTAGCTCAACTTTTTTATTTAACGTTGTTTTGATGATGAAATATTTGTTTAACGAGATGTCAAAGAAGTTAATACCAAAGGAATCCATGTACTCTATAGTCATAAGTGAGTGTATAGTTATAGTTAAGGATCTCATATGGAAAAACGACTAAAACAAAAGTTATAGATATCAAAAAGTTATGCAATATTATAGTTGACAACCTTTTCGTTTGAAATCGTCTATCTAACGAAAATTATATTTGAATTTTCACATTTGAAATTCGAATTTTTCAAACGATCTCGTATGAAGAAACCACCAAAACTAAAGTCGTAGATCTTGAAAACTTATGCAACTTTGTAGTCGACAACTTTTTCATTTAAAATTACTTATCCAAGGAAAATTATGGCCAAATTTCCTCATATTTGAAATTCAAAATTTATAAACGGCTTCGGATGGAGAAATGACCAAAACCAAAGTTGTAGATCTTGAAAAGTTTTAAAACTTTGTAGTTGACACCATTTTCGTTTGAATTTGTTTTGTGTCCCAAATACTCACTTCAAATCCGGATAGCATGAAATCGAAATATAATATTTTTTTGGTTTTAGTAGAGCATTGTCATTATACAAATATGAATTATGACATAAGTATTTAACACATGTACATAAAGACAATTATTATTAATAATGAATATTTCAGTTCACGATTTATTTATTTATTTATTTATTTATCCACGATTTATTTGTTAAGGAAGGATCAAAGTTTCAAAGGCCATAATACTATATTTATTATTTATTTTTATGTTTATAGAGAAAAACGGGATACTCCAAGCAAGAAAAAAAAATAAGTCATGGAACGGAGAGATACACTCCACAAAAGAAAAAACGAAAAAAAAGAAACGGAAAGAAACTGAACGCGGGAAAAAAGTCAAAGAATTTCTTTTTTTAGATAAAAAACAAAAAGCGTCTTCGCATCACCGCGAATAGAACGAGAGATCCAATTTTCAACGCCGAGCGCGCGTCTGTTCTTCTCTCCCGCCCGACGCCGCCGCACGTCGCGCTCATCTCGGGCCGCGGGAGCTGCTTCCTCATCTGCCCTCGCCTCGGCGCTTGGAACACGGGTAACCTCCACCGGTCTTGCCGACTCCAAAATTGTCTTCCCTCCTGCTTCTCTCATTCCCACGATCCGCATTGCCTCTCCTCCTGTTCTTCTCTCCCTCCGTCAGGACTCAAATCTCCTCTCCCCTCACACAGCGTTGTGCTTGCCGTGGCCAAGGGCAGGAGCCTGCACACCATTCGTACCACGTTCCACGAGATCAAGTTCTTGCAGGTAACGCCGAGCTCTTTCCACCCTCTCCTTTTCTGCATGCGACTTTGAGTTCCTGCGAATCCTGCCATCCTGTCGAACGTGGGTTTTCTACCGGTAGATCTGTCTACAAGAATCTCCAAATTTCAGAGCTATTTTTTGTGGAATTTTCGTTCTTCCTTTTTGTGTGCGATTTAGGGCGAATCTAGGCGTTCTGATGGTAGGATATGTGAGAAGATATCTTTGTCATCAATCAATTTGATCCCCTAACAGGAACCTTCAATTTTAGATTTTGGTGAAGGTTTCACCTTTTCTACGGTTCCCAGAAACTGCAGATGAATTCTCAATCTTTGTTAGTGTTAATGGTTAGAGTAGAACACCCATGACATATGAGATGGTGGTGCCGTGGTTTGGATTTCTTTTCCATCGGTCTTTTGGTTTGTTTGATGAGGCTTGAAGCAGCTCTGCTTCAGTTGCATACTGTGCCATTTCTGAAAACGTCTTCTCCAGAAGATGAAATAGTTTGCCTGCTCTTGCTTTCATTGCTCGCCATGCTATTTCCATCTGATCTTAGTTCCCTACAGATGTGCTCCATCCTAGCAGCGGCCACTCCAACATTCCAAGGAGCAGGACACGGACAGCTCATCTCAGTTGTATAGTGCTGCTGCATATAGCTGTCTAGGTGATTTATTTACATTTTTTTTCTCATGGAAACACTTTTGTGGAGGGGGATTTAGAATTCAGCAGAGGAGAAAGAGGATTAAAACATTGTAATTTCAGGTCGCCGGAGGAGCTGAGCTGCTGCACTTCGACAATTAGGTAAGCTGGTAGCAGTGCATCGGTAGCTTATCTGCTCATGGAGTTGCAGCTTTCATTTGCTCGCACAGGCAAGGGCAAAGTGCTGGCATTTTGTCATTCATGTTACAGAATACTCCGAGCAGCAGTTTAGTATGCTTTTGTGAAATGTCCTATCATGATGCAGTGGATTCATCTTTTAATAATTTCTGCTTTCATGCTTTTTAGTAATTATTTATTCAATACTTGCTAGCTTCTTAGGTTAGCTTTTTGTGCATGGTTGAAATGGGACAAAACAAAGGGCAGACTTTTCACATTTTATTTATGACCTCTGTTTCAGTTCTACTCAGTCTGTGTATACGACTTAGTGCTTGATTGTTTCACTAGTGTCATGGTATGTCAGCCTGTTTATTTAATTCAAGCTAACCGGACACTACCTATGATGCACGGATTCGTGGATACGGATACCGGTACATGATACGGCGATACTCCGATACGCCATTTTTCCCAAAATACAGATATGAGGATACGGCAATATATATAAAAAATAAAAAATAAATCCACCGAAATTAGAAATTAGCGCGCAGACCATAAATATTACATAACATAATATTGTTCAGGGCATAACGTTCAGGCCATCAAGCCATTATTCAAACTTAGGTTCAACATACACACATAACTACATGATGAAATGATAAAACGATAATTGATAAAGTGATGATGCATGAACGGCAGCTGGCCATGACAAATTGGCAATCATCAAGAAGTCTTTCAGTCACTTGATCCAACATCTTCAGTCAGACCCAGTGCCCCAAGATCTTCAAGAACTCTTTCAAGGTCTAGCTCATCAAGTGACTGATCAGCATGCTCAAGGAAATTAGTACCGCCCTCAAAATCAGCTTCAAAAGTATCAGCTCCAATATCCCACATTGCTGATGGACCATGGTTGTATTCCTCATTTTTTTCTAGAAAGAAGACGCAAGTTCTGGTGTGTGAAAACTAGATCCCCAGCACGTGCAGGATTGAGCCTACAAAGTCAATTGCAAGTTTGCAATTAGGAATCGAACTACAGGTGTCAAGCAATTGAGATTTAAAAAAACAGCAATAAAATGTCGAACTAGAACCTGCTTCTCAAGGAACTATGAATCAGCCCATAGGTACTCCAATTTCTCTCAGCACAAGAAGATGATGTTGGCTGGCCAAGTAATCTAAATGCCAACTTCTTCAGTTCTGGAGCAGAATGACCATGAATTCCCCACCATTGCTTTGGATCCATATAAGTTCTATCCTCAAGTGAATCAAATGAATTGAATCCAGGTCCAAACAAAGAGAAAGTAGCATATTGTTGCTTGACCCTTTTTAATTCCTCACCAGAAAAATTCCTCCTGAAACAAGCATTTCTCATTTCTGAAATCTGCTCATCATTGTGGGGGGCTTGTCGGTTTGGAACCTCACTGATCCATGCTTCAGTGTAGTACTTGGGATTTAGTGAGTGTGCCAAGCAGTGCAAGGGGGTATTGCTTTTTGTCCAACGGCTCACCAAGATGTCTTGCACAGCTGAGTAAAAGGTGGATTCTTCATGTGGCTCTTTCCCTTCATAACGATATATCACATTCTTCACCTTCTCTATCATTGTGTCCCACATTTCATATATCAAGTGGAGGCATGGCTTGTCAGTATCAGCTGCCCACACCATAGAATAGATAGGATCAGTGAAACTGAGGAAATAGTGCACCTTATCCCACCACACATCATTCACAATCTTGTCCTTCACAAATTGAGCCAGACCAGGATTATCCTCCCTGTAGGCAGTCCACTTTTCACTCACTACCATCACTGAAAGAGCATCTTTTATAGCCACAAACCTCTTCATCATCACAACAGCAGAGGCAAATCTTGTCTCGGCAATGGCAAGGAACTTAAGCTTGCTATACTCATTGAACATGGATAGCCTCATGGAGTGATTCATGATGAAATTCTTTATACTGCTAGCATCTCAATGATTTCACTGATCCATTGGAATTCATCATAAAGCTCATCCTCAATGTCCCTAGGAGCACATATGTTCTTCAAGCCAAGGTTCAGAGTATGCACGACACATGGGGTCTAGAAAATCTAAGGGTGCTTCTGCTCAACAATGATACCAGCAGCTCTGCAATTGGCAGCATTATCAGTGATCACTTGCACAACATTTTGTGCCCCAACCTCATCAATTATAGCTAGCATCTTCTCTGAAATATATTCCTTAGTCTTGGATATTCCTTCAGTGTTGAATGCTTTAAGAAACATTGGACCATCTTCCGTCACAGCCAAGAAATTCAAGAGTGGGCGCCTTTGAGCATCTGACCATCCATCTGATACAATACTCACACCTTTAGAATTTCATGTTGCCTTGATGGGCTGCATCAATCTCTCAACATTTGTCTTCTCTTGCACAAGAAGAGTTGTCCTCAGCTTGTTGTAGCTTGGAGGGACATATCCTCCAATTGGATGATTGGCAACAAACATGAAAGTCTTCCTGAAATATGGGTTACATGCAAGATTAAAAGGCAGGCCTGCTGTGTAGAACATCCTAGCTATTAGTTCATCAAGCTGGCTACGGACTTCTAGATTGAAGCTGCACTCAATAGCCGAAACACCCCTCCTCTTCCTCATCTTCTCATTGCCCTCAGTTGGAAGTGGAATATCTCTAGGAAGGTTCCTGCCAGCAGTAGCATTTGCAGCAGAAACTTCAGCTTGCAGTTGTTCAAGAATATATACAGTCACCACTCGACAAAATGTAACCCTAAAACCAGAAATCTTTAACATATGTGCTTTAACTCTAGAGTAACTTCCTTGGAACCCCTTGTTACAAAGTCTACATCTCATCTTTGTGTTGCCCCCTTGACCCTTTCTAGTTTTCTCAAGAATCTGAACATACCTCCACAGGGGCTTCTTGTCATCATCGTCTGCAGGAATCACACGAGCAGAAGCCAAGACTCGAATGCAATAGCAGGATTGTTGGCAACAAGAAATTCTTCACTTTCACCACTATGAGTGGATGCAGAAGCATTCGTACTGGTCACCATTTGATCTGACATGAGGGGAAATAAACACAGAGCAGATGAATCAGCACATGGGGAGATTGATTTGAGAAGGGAAGGACCAGACATGGAGGAAGCAGAGGAATGTCAGACTCACCACGGAAGGGGAAGGAGCAGGAGGAGGCACGGGCGGGTGGCCTGGCGGCGGTGACGGCAAGGGAGTGACGAGCGGCGCTGCTCCGGGCAGCGGGTGGCCGGGTGGCGGTGAGCAGCAGGCTGCCATGCGTGAGGCAGCTGCGGCTGCGCGAATGGGGATGAGAGGGGCGGCGCAGCTGAACAGAGGGCTTTAATACGAAGCGATTGAGTGGTGTTAGGGTTTGAAGGTATCGCACATGTGTCCCACAGGTGTCCCATAAGTATCCGGTTTATTTTTATTATTTGGAAATTGCTAAATTGTCCGATACGTCCGGGATACGTATCCGGACGTATCCGCGGAGTATCCGTATCCGATACGGTATTCGACACTGGTACGCGAGTTTTGCGAAGTATCCACGTATCGTAGGACACTACTATATATAAAGTTAATTTTCAATCAAGCAAAACAATAACAGTGATTTTCCCCTCCTAAATGTTAGGAAAAATAAATTATCATACATGTTAATTTTATATCTTATTTAATGTAAAGAACCTTTTGGACTATTTTTGTTCGTATATATGTGTCATGCTCTAGACCATCCTATCTGAACCATAGCACTTTACTTGTTCTCAAGCTCCAAGTTCAAATAACATTACAAATATGCACTTTAGTCAAATTGTTACTATTCGGTTATATTTGATTCTTATTTGTGAATTATCCTATGCTTTATTCTTATTTTCCTATTGGTGCTATATTTTATTTAGATTGTGCTACCATGGCGGTGGATAATTGGACCATAAATCTAGAATGTGATGGGAAAGCTCAAGGACATAAACATGTGCAAAGGGAAATGGATAGAGATGAGATATGCTTTTTCGACTTGATTGATCTGATCGAGGGTTCTGGGTACACATCAGTCGACTATCTATACTACAAGAGAAAAGATAGCTTGGTTGTAATACAACAAGATTATGATGTGATGGAAATGCTCAACGAGTGTGAGAGCGAAAAGACGGTTAATTTGTTTGTGACGAGGCAGAGACTGGCCACTTTAGCGCCTACCAAGTCCAACAAAGAACCATCCAAATCTAAACCAAAAAAATAAAGGTATTAGAATGAACATATAATTTACTTTTCTATGTATATTTGATTATTCAAGGACAACTATTCCAAGTCATGTTAGTTATCAATGATTTATTTTCATCCAAGATTAGCATATCCAACCCCACCGTGGTATGTGACTTAATAAATACAATCTTGATAGTCTGATACAAATATCTAGTTGTTTAATAAAAAGATTACATATTGTTTATTATATTTACTATAAACACGTGTTCATGTCCCCAACATTTGTTTAGTAGGAAGAGGAGGTACAAAGAAAAAGAAAGGATTAAATGTAATGCATACTGAAGCACTATATGCTAACGAGGTTGAGCAGCATGATGATGAGAACCAGAACACATCATGTACAAATGTAGTTAGATCAATCTCACTCATATGGACTGCATCTTAACCAATTACTATCACTATCATTCTGTTTTTAATAGGTGATGGTGATGAAGTACCTGGTAAACGAAAGGGAACCGTTTTAACACATGTTTGGGATCTACTTGGAGGAGATCGGATAGTAGTAAGATGTAATATGCGTGGACAACCCATTGGAAAAGAAGGTGGCCTTTTTTGGGCACCATAGCAAGAAATGGTTGTTACTGTCCTGTTGGTGCCAAAGATTGGAGAGAAGTTAAGAAAAACAATGCAGAAACCATAATTCAATTCATCCATGTTAGCTAAATTTTACAAGACATAATGTTTTTATAAGGTTAAGTATATATATGCTTGTTATCATGTCATGAAGTCAAATTCATTCATTAGTGACTTTCTTATTTTAGACAAAGTTCTTATATCCTCATTCATGTGAGAAATGGATATTGAAATCAATTGGAAGAGATTGGAGAAAATACAAGGCAACATTAAAAAAGTCACTATTTAATCCAAAGAAGAAAAAGTCTATTTTGAACAAGTGTTGTCCAGATGATATCGATGAAGATCAATGGAAGGCCCTAGTAAAATATTGGAAGTCCAGCGAAGAACAAGTAAGGCACCATTATTGACGCTATTTGGCTTTTTTACTATCACTATCTATACCATTATTGATTTTTATATGTATAATGGTTCATTATCTATTAATTTACTTTTCTTGTAGACCCTAAGTGAGAAGAACAAAATAAGTTTTCAAATGAAGAAGACAACACACACAGCCGGTACAAAGAGTTATGCTCGTTGGTCTGAGGACATGGTGAGTCATCTTCTGTTTAAAAAAAATTATATATGATTCTTCTTACTTTTCCTTTACTGCTATTTTTTCAGAGGCAAAGTGATCCTGAAAAAAATAGCCACATAGAGCAAAGGTTTACCTCGCAACTCACAGGAAAAGGGGAAAAGGGATAAATGAACCAGTGGTATGCTACATGCACATGAGAATTTTTGCAAATATAAAATTATTTCTGTTTTTTAATGTGCAGATTTCTTGCTTGTAGGTTGAACTGGAAAATCTCCTAGACACACAACCAGAGTTAGCACAAAATAGTGAGGGAGGAGTTGCATGGGAAGGTGATGCATTACATCGGGTGTTGGGAGAAGAGAAAGCTGGACAAGTGCACGGCATGGGATTGCTTCCAGTTCCTAAACAAGTTTATGGTCGAAGAACACACCATATTAAGGACATTAATATAGTTTCACTAGATGGCTTATATCTGATGTAGAGACTCACATATTGGAGGAAATAAGGCAACTCAAAGAGCATTCTAGAATGCAAGACAAAGCTATTGAAGAACTAAAAAATAATCAAAGGCACCATGAGAACCAAGAAGCAACAATGGTAACAATGTACATTTTAATTTGTAACTTCGTATTGAAATGTGTTACTCAAACTTTATTTCTTTTCCAGGGAAATTGTGCTAGGAGTGATCATAACAATTCTCAGAATCAAGCGGTGCTTTCTAAAAGAAAGGTATTTGCTCTATTTTCCATGTTTTCACCTAATTTAGTCTTTTGGCTTTAATATTGTTTCAAATTTTTAGAGAGTTCACTGTGTTGCACCTAACCAGAATGATGGATTCCTTGAACACAGGGATGAATTGGTAAAGTCACTTTCTTGTGAATTTAATACTATTTTATTCACAAATGATTTTTTATATTAACTCATGCTACTGTCTTTTTTCTCTTTACTAGAATAAAGAAACATGTGAGTCTGAATATAGTGATGATGAAGTCTACTTTTATCCACCACAGGTAAAACAACAAAGAAACAAAAGGTATCTATGAACCACACTTTGTATTATTTATAGAGGAATTTTGTCTTAATATTTCATACTTCATTTTATATGTGTAAGGGTCATCATGGAGGGCCTCTTGATGTACAACTAAGGGTTGTTGGTCACTAAGAGATTATGTCAAATTAATGTAGGTTGGGTCCATGGTGCTACTAATGACTTCAAAATATCCTAATAAGGCTAATGTGGCCTATGCAACTCTCTTGAGCACTGATCTAGAAGCCATTGTTGGTGGAGTTAAGACAGGAAGTTAATTACAAAGTGCGTATCAATCATGCTATAGCAAAAGATGAGCCTTTAGTGAGGCCTAGGCCTGGGTGCAACAATATTGGTGATGCTCAAGCCAAAGGAGTCTCAATTGCTTGGCCTTCGATGTTTGTATGTTCAAACTAGCTTTCTTAACTTACATCATTGTACATATGTGGCCTAATTTGTAATCTTACAACTTACATTTTCTTTATAGGTTTAAATGATTAATGGTTGAATTCCTACATCGATGTGTACAAAGAGTAATGGAAGAAGAAGCAATGAACTTTATGAATCCTAGCTAGTTCTTGAATTTTTCTTTCTAGTATGGACTATGTGTGTTTGCTCTGTAGAGCCATATCATTATGTACAAATACTATGATTTAATCTGAACAAGCATTATATTTGAAATCATCCTACTATATGTGGATCTTGTTATAATTATTGAAATTTATGGTTTATGTGATTTTGCAATGTGTCATGTTTGTGTGATTCTATAATAATCCGTGTGCCACATATATAGGCAAAACAAATATTTGTTTTCTAATCTGAATATGTTACAATAGATATAAACAAGTGTTACAAACCATGTGTTCCTTTGTTCCATACTGTGCTCTACCAAAATGTAGAAGTGTTACTAGAACTAAAAAAAATGTTATAGCAGAATATCACTATAACACTAGGCAAATGTTCCCATAGATAAATAAATGTGTTACAAACTATGTATTACACCATAATGTGAAGTGTTACTAGAGAAAAAAAAGTGTTACAGCAAAAATCATTGCAACACTAGACAAATGTTCCAATAAACAAGTAGATGTGTTACAATAAACCAGTCTATAGTAACATGGCCAATTCGAACAGAAAAAAATGTGTTACTAAGAGAACTAGTAACACTTTTTTCAACCTACAGTAACACAAGTTGGTGTTACTATATCCCTGTGCTGTTGTAGTGCAAAAGATTTAAATTCTTATATTTTTATAAAAGCCTAAGTTGGTTGTCATCAATTACCAAAAAGGGGGAGATTGAAAGTGCATTTTCCTCCTATGTAGGTTTTGTTGTATTGATGACATCCAAATTAGGTACTAATGAGATCTTAATGAGATATATTGCAGTTTTAATCCCTTAAAAGTTTCAAAGAGTTGATTTAAGATGAAATGGTATCCCTCAATTTTTCAAGTGCAAAAGACGAACAAACCCAAAGCGCGCTTCAAGCATTTTTAATTTTGTTTTGGGTTTAGGTATGCCGTACTATAAAGAGGGATGCAAGTTTAGGTGGTCTAAGGAAGATAGAGTGTTCAAGCATAAAAATAAAATCAAAAGAGAGACACAAAATCACCTCACGAACATTTAGATATAGTTCTTGGACTTTTGGTAGTCGGAAGTTGATAAGGACATGAGCTCCATGCATACGACCATGCTTGGAGATAGAGGACGAGGAGATCAGCGAGGGTGTCCTAATCGAGAAGGAGGCCCGAAGCTCATCCGGTTCGAGTCACCAAGGTGGAGGCCCAAATCAAGTTCGAGCTCATCTCGGGTTCTAGGACCCGTCTGTCATAAAACTAGTCACACGGGCGCGTCCAGGCTCCGTTTTCGATGATCCACATATGGATGGAAAGCTAATTAGATAAGGAAGCCAATGCAAGTGGTCTCACATCAAAATCCCTTCAAAATTAATGAGAATCGTCGAAACAAGTTAGCGTCCAGAATCTGCCAGGGTGCTGCGACACCGTCTTTTGGTCCGTTGGACCGTGTATCATGTTTGGGCCCATTAGAGGGCGCATCTAGGGGGTGACGTCCAGGGCTCTATAACTAGCAGTAGCCGCTCTCCTTAGGGTTTGGGTTTTGTTTAGTTCTTGATTTCCTCGTGAAACAGACGTCGTTTTGCTGCAACTGTGCCACCAAGGCCACTTGCTATGAACCAGGGCCCCAGTTCTTGATCTTGTTCGCCTGTGACGATTAGTCCTTTCAAATAAAGACTTGAACTCCTTCTCGTTATCATAGGCCTCATATTTATTTGCAATTTCAGATTACGTTCATCCCGTTCTTGCTTGTGTTCTCGATTCGCTAGCAGGAAAGCCTTCTCGGCGAGGTCAATCGTGTTCGTGTGGTTGATAACCAATGAAGCAGTGGTGTAACTGTTGTGAGAGTCTGAATCAGTCTTGGTTTGAAGCCTAGATCATGAACTTTGAGTCTCCACCAATCGACGCTATCGTACCTATCGGAAGATCGGGCCTTGTCTACATCAGAAGTCCCGGCGTGAACCGGGAGTTCCGGGCGTCGGAAATTCTGGCATTTGGTGCCGAAAGTTCCGGCACTTGAGGACTTAGCCATCAGCCAGCCTACGCTCGCTCGCCCATCGGAAGTCCCAACGAGAGTCAGGAGTTCCGGGTGCCAGAAGTTCCGTCTCCCATCAGAAGTCTTAACGCTTTGGGACTTAGCCCCCTGGCTCGACTCTGGTCGGGAGTTCCGATGTGAGTCGGAAGTCCTGACTGTCGGAAGTTCTGGTGTTCCACCGAAACTTCTGGCTCCAGCTCTGTTGACCACCTTTGACAGTGTCTTGAATAGTGTTTTACAGAAGGGCCAGAAGTTTCGACGATCTGTGTTAGAACTTCCGACCTAGATCTGAACGGTTGGATTTCACTATGAGTATAAATAGCTCTCTCCTCTCTTCTACCCAGGCACCACTTATTCATTGCTCACCAATCTTCATCCAAAATAGCTCGTAAGCATTCAAGACACCCCTCTCCTCTCCCCTTTGCTCTAATCTTTGATTTTCCTAGGGTTTTGAGTGAAAGGAGAGTGGATTGAGTGAGAGAATCACTTTGGCAAGCTTGAGCACTTGATTTCTTCATCAAGCCGGTTGGATTTGCATCTATTACTCTTGAGTTCTTGGAACCCTAGCCGGCTAGGTGTCGCCCAAGAGCTTCCATCTTATAGAAGAGCCTTGGGAAGTTTGTATTACCCTTGATTTCTTAGTGAAAAGCTCAAGTAACCTTTGTGGTTGCTTTGAGAGAGGCAAGTAGGTGGAAGAAACTCCGACCTTGGTGGTCACCTCAACAACGAGGACGTAGGAGCTCCTTTGTGGGGTTGCCGAACCTCGGGATAAATCCTTGTGTCCCGCATGCCAGTTGTTGTTGTGATTTGTTCTATCATATTTGTTCTTGTTGGTTTGTCTTCCTCTCCAACTCTCCTCTTAGGGTTTGGACTCGATCTACGGAGTGATGACCTTCCGGTGTCAAAGGAGCAACCCCAACACTTCACCTTACCACTAGGGAGTGGGGTTGTAAGATATCTTTCACTGAAAGTTTATTTTAGCACTTGTAGTGAATTTCACGTAAGTGCCGGAACTCCCGGCTGTTTGCGTCGGAACTTCTGGCTGCTGGAAGTTTTGGTGCAAACAGTCAGAACTTCCGATTGTCACTGATATTTGACTTTGAGTTTACGTAGAAATTTTTAGATACACCTATTCACACCCCCTCTAGGCATTGTTTAGATGTTTTCACATAGCTCCTGCTCCAACGCCCGCCCTGCTTGACGTTGCGGGCATCGTCGCACCCACGCCTTGGGGCCACTTCCTCGGCCGCCAGCTGGCTACCAAGGCTGTCGCGCTTGCGTGCTCGCGCCCGACGACACCGACAGCCGCCACCAACACAAGGAGAAGCGCTGGGCCCTGGCATGGAGCTCCTGCTATGGCTGCAGCACCCCACTATAGACGGCGGAGGAGACCACATCAGGATACGTCACATGTTGCAAATGTATCTTTCAAATGTTTTAGATGTTTTAGAGGTACGTTGGAAGTGTTTCATGTGGATGTTGCAAAAGTAGATCGAGATGTTGAACATGTTACAATGTCTATACACGTATGCTTCAAGTGTATGCTCCTAATGTTTCATCTATTTCAGACGCATGTTGCAAGTGTTTTAGGTGTTTTCATACGTATATTTCGAATGTTTTCATCTGCATGTTGCAATGTTTTGCAATGGCTACACACATGCTTTCAAATTTTTATGGTGTTTTGCAAGTTTTTCAGACGTATGTTGCAAGTGTTTCAGCTGTTTTGGACGTATGTTGCAAGTGTTTCACCTGGATATTACAAAAGTAGATCGGATGTTGCACATTTTTATGAGATCCACCTGCCACAGCCACCTGCTACAGCTGCTAGGGCACCGTCGAGCTGACGCCCACGTGTGGTCGGTTGGCGCGGGAGACGTCCGGCCGATGCGGGCCTCGCTCGAGCGCGCAAAATGAGCAGGCGCGGTAAACGGGGTGCGAGGAAATGGACCAGCAGGCGCGGGTGGCAGTAGCATTTCCGTAAACTATAATGTCATCTTGTGTCATGTAAAATGGCTTTTGATGTAGGATTTCCCATACCTCATCTTATTGATATATAAAATAGTTGTAGAGTCATCTTCATTTTTATAGTGATTTTTGTATATTTATTCATTTTATTGTCCAGCATCGTCTTCACTTGCTTGAACTTAACTTAGCTATTCGTCTCGCAATTGTTTTTTACATCCCCTCTACCTTGTTGATACATCAATTAATTTGATATACTCAATTGTCAAGTGGCATGCATAATTACACAAACTTATGCATGCTACTGATTGAAATCATTAGATCTGTGTAAAAACACAAAACCCTTTTATTTCAAATTGTGATATATAGTCATCAACATCTAATAAAAATGATTGGCTTTTTTCACTCAGTAATTCAAACTTTCAAGTAAATTGGTCATGGGATTCAACATGATTTCACTGGAGGCTGGAGACCTAATTTTTCATGTTATTTTTAGAGAAGAGATATCTTCCATCACCCACCATGGGTCATTTGTTAGTGATAACGAG